TTTTTGTTTTTTTGTTTTTTTAACGTGTGTTTGGACACAAAATAAAGCTTTGGATTTACATGGAAGCGCTTTTCCATGCGACAGAGCCACTTTCCATCCCCGCGCCGTGCTTCCTAGCGTCTGCCTTTCCCGGAAAAGGTCCTTGGCTGCTGAGGGATCCTCGGGGGAGCCCTGCTTACGATGGGAAGATTGTAAAAATTATATATATATATATTTTTTTCTGTTTTTTTTCTTAAAAAAAAGGGAGAGAAACATCTTTAGAGAGAAAAATCGGAGGAAAAGTACTAACTAGATTTTGTGACACTTGGTTTTTTTGTTGGGTTGTTTGTTTTTTTTTTGGTTTAGGAGAGTCCTTGCGTGTTACCCTCAGACGACCCTCCTGCTACATTCAATCCTGACGCTTCGTTATTCGAATTCTCCTCAAAGTGCTGCTCCTCCTCGCCGTTCCTCTGCAGGGTGTCCTCCGATTCCTGACTCTCCCCGCCGGCTTGAAAACTTCCCTCTTCGGGGTTCCCCGGAGGGGTGGCGGGCAAAGCCCCGGCATCTCTCACCCGGGGGTTCCGACCCCTCCGGGACGGCAGATTGTTGCATCCATCTTTTTTAAGGTGCCTGTGCAAGTGGTCGGAGCGGACGAAAGTCTTGCAGCAGATGTCGCACTGGTAGGGCCGCAGGCCGGTGTGGACGCGCATGTGGTTCTTCAAGTCGTAGTTGTGAGCGAAAGCGGCGCCGCATTGCTGGCACAAGTAGGGCTTCTCGCCCGTGTGTTTCCTCATGTGGACCTTCAGCTTGTCCTGCCTGCGGGGGAGAGAGAGGACCGGGAGGGGGCACGTCAGCCGGGGGTCTGCCTTCGTCCCGCGCTCCCAGTACAGGGCTGGGCAGCGCCCGGTACGGGTTGAGCAGCACCCGGGGTGGGGATCGGCATCGGCACGCGGGTGAGCATCGCTACGGGGCCGAGCATCGCCCAGTATGGGGCTGAACATCGCTACGGGGCTGAGCATCACCCAGTATGGGGTCGAGCACCAGTACGGGGATGAACATCGCCCAGTATGGGGTCAAGATTCACTACGGGGCTGAACATCACCCAGTATGGGGTTGAGCACCAGTACGGGGCTGAACATCACCCACTATGGGGTCAAGCATCGCTACGGGGCCGAGCATCGCCCAGTATGGGGTTGAGCATCACTATGGGGCTGAGCATGGCCTGGTGTGGGGTTGAGCACCAGTACAGGGCTGAACATTGCCCAGTACATGGTCGAGCACCAGTATGGGGCCAAGCACCACCCACTATGGGGTCAAGCACCAGTATGGGGCTGAGCATCACCCAGTACGGGGTCAAGCATCGCTTGGTACAGGGTCAGGCATCAGTATGGGGTTGAGCATCACCCAATACAGGGTCAAGCATTACCCAGTACGGGGTCAAGCACCAGTATGGGGCCGAGAACTGCCTGGTACAGGGCTGAGCATTGCCCAGTACAGAGTGGAGCACCAGTACGGGGCCAAGCATCACCCAGTACGGGGGCAAGCAGTGCCTGGTTTGGGGCTGAGCATCACCTGGTACAGGGTCAAGCACTGGTACGGGGCTGATCATCTCCTGGTACGGGGTCCAGCACCAGTCTGGCGCTGAGCATCACCCAGTATGGGGTCAAGCATCACCCAGTATGGGGTCAAGCATCACCCAGTATGGGGTCAAGCACCAGTATGGGGCTGAGCATCTGGGGGCAAGCAGTGCCTGGTATGGGGCTGAGCATCACTTGGTACAGGGTCAAGCATTGGTACGGGGTCAAGCACCAGTATGGGGCTGAGCATCACCCAGTATGGGGTCAAACACTGGTACGGGGCTGAGGATCAGTACAGGGCCGAGCATCACCTGGTACGGGGTCAAGCATCGGTACGGGGTCGAGCATCGCCTGGTACAGGGCTGAGCATCACCCAGTACGGGGTCAAACACTGGTACGGGGCTGAG